ACCGAGACCCCCCAGGCAGCCCCTGCCCCCCCCGGCCCTGACCCCAGCCCCACCACCCTCACCACCTGCCGTCCCCTCCTCCTCACAGGGTCGGCTATACTCTGACCACTATGGCCTGTACCACACAAGCCCCTCCCTGGGCGGCCTGACGCGGCCCGTGGTCCTGTGGAGTCAGCAAGACGTCTGCAAGTGGCTCAAGAAGCACTGTCCCCACAACTACCTCGTCTATGTCGAAGCCTTCTCCCAGCATGCCATCACCGGTATGGAGGCCAGGCCGGGATGCCTTCCCCACGGGGCTCCTGCGTCTTGCCAGGTCCACATCTCCTGTCTCGTCCCCTGCGTCTCTGTCCGTGCGGCATCATCTGTGACTCCCATCTCTCTGTTCCATCTTCGTACGGCTCTTCTCTGCTCGGGCTCCCTCTAAGTCTCTTCCTGTCTCTTGGACTCTCTTTCTTCTCTGAGTCTCATTTCCTCCCTCCCTTCCACCCACCTGGCCTCTACTTCACTCAGTGCCTCTGCGGGGGCCTGTCTCGGCCCCTCCCCTCTCCCCAGGCCGGGCGCTGCTGCGGCTGAATGCGGAGAAGCTGCAGCGGATGGGGCTGGCACAGGAGGCCCAGAGGCAGGAGGTTCTGCAGCAGGTGCTCCGTCTGCAGGTGCGCGAGGAGGGGCGGAGCCTGCAGCTGCTTAGCCAAGGTCAGTGGGAGGGTCGGGGTGGTAGAGAGGCCTGTGGGCCTGGGCTGAGAGCCCCTGAGTCTGGGGTGGGGTGATGGTCTCAGCATGGCTGAGCCTGCCCTCCTCTCACCCCCACCCACTCCACAGCTTCCTCTGGACACATGTCCTAGCCACTGAGGTTCGAACCCCAGACCCCAGCACTGTGACCAGAGCCCACAGCGAAGGATGAGGCAGAGCTGGCCACTCAGCCCCTCTGGACTCTGCAGGATGCCCTAGTGGCCAAGCCTGACCCGCAGGTGGGACCAGGGTCTCCAGCTCTGGGCGCCTGTGGTTGGGCAGGCCAGGCTGTGCCCTGGGGCTGGGTGGTGGAGCCACTTAAGTGCGGCCCCTCCTGTTGGGACCTGAGCCCAAGCCCACCCTTGTGCTGCAGGCAGCACCCAGGGCACCTGCCTGGGCCACGTCGGGTTTGGCTGTCCCCCCAAACTCCCAGGGGCCTATTTATTTACATTCCCCTAACCACGTGACGCCTGTCCCCACCGCCCACCCAGTCCGTCTGCCCACTTGCCTGTCCCGTTCTGCGCCCTCGCCGGCACTGCCAGGTTGGCCACACAGGTGGGCTAGACCACACCAGCTCCCTTTGGCTTGCGTGCCTCCCAGCCCCTGCCACGGCCCAGCAGGCTCACCCCTGCCATGACCATTGGCACCCAAGTGCTGTCTGTCCTTCCCCGGGGAACCTCAGCACGCCCCGTCCGTTCAGAGAACAGAGGCTGACAGTCTGAGACGGCTGGAACCCCAAAGGCAAGACGTGGTATGGGGACACCAGCCCTGCCCAGGCAGTACACGCCAGTGCCCACCGGGCTCAGGGGAGCCCCCAGCCTGGCCTCTGGGAGACCTGCTTCTAAGCATCTTCCCTGCTCCCAGTTCATGGAGACCACGTTCAAGGCCCAGCCATCTGTGGTGTTCCTGTCGCTGGATTCTCGTGAGACACTGTCCTCAGTGCCATGCCTCCACGTCCACCATCAGGCACCGGAGAGCCCTCCCTGGGTGATCCGGACTGGTGCTGCCCACAGAAGGACAGTAAGGGCGGCCCTGCCAGCCCCCTCCCCTCCCGTGGGGAGTCTGAGTCTCAGGGACAGATGAGGCTGAGCCCCCAGCTCCCTGTGCGCCCTGAGCGGCCTTAGGCCCAAGGGTGCTTGTGGCAGGTTCCAGTGGTGTCTGGACAACTAGCCTGGTCCTCCTGTCCCACACGCCCCATCAGGAGCCCCTCCCTATGGCTGCCCCAAGTCCCTCTGTCCACCTTGTGCCCTCAGCCTTCACCCAGAGCCCTCCTGTCCACCCCTGCCCGTGTCCTGTTTTGCGCTCGCTTTTTATATGGACAAAAAACAATCAGAAATAAACCTGGTTCTCAAGTGCCAGCAGTGCTGGTTCTGGGAGGAGGGAGTCCAGTCAGCTCTGCAGTGGGCCATCGGGGCAGCTGTGTGTGGGTGTTCAGAGAGCCTGTGAGTGGGCCGAGAGGCCAGAGAGGCAGGCTCCCCTGTAGGCTGGGCAGGACACCTGGCAGCTGGAAGGGCCAGTGCACAGGCGTGGGTGCCTGGAGCCCCGTGAGAGGCCTGCACGCTGCGTGGCTTTCGGGCAGTAGCCTCTGTTCTCGGTCTGGAGGTCGGAGTCTGAAACACATCAGGGCTGTGTCCCTTGGGCTCAAGGACAGCCCCTGCCGTGCCCTCTGCCCAGGTGGCTGCCTGCGGATTCCTGGACTCACACAGAGGCCACTCCAGGCCTTTCTTCTCTGAAATAGTCCCTCTGTCTCCCTCCTAGAAAGGCGCTGGGTTTAGGTCCCGCTTGGGCCATTTGGGTGGCCTATCCCAAGACCCTTGTCCATGTTTACAGGAAGTCTCCTGTATGTTCCCGTTCCCATCCACGGGGCCGGGTTTGACAGCGGCCCCTGCAGCCGCCCACTCAGCAGTCTCGAACAGTGACACCCCACAGTGGGCACAGCCAGAGCACCAAGGCACAGACTACGCACAGACAGACTGGGAGACCCAACACCAGCACATCCCCGTGTACTAACACACATGTGTTCTTGGCCAGATATACATGATACCCTGACCTGCAGGTACACAGAGAGGGAGCACCCCTGATGCGCTGGTGTGTCACCCAAACACACGACACAAGACAACCCCCCAACATGCAGAGACAAGATGGGGACAAAGAGACAAAGTCCCCAACAGGTTTTTACAGGCACGCACTAAGGTCTGCATTCCCCCACTCACCTGACCACTGGGCGCCTGGGCACCAGCACTCAGATGTGCACAGAGCTCACCTGCCAGGCACCCCCTGGCACTATGGTGCCCAACACTGGAGCCCGGGCAGTCATGAGGACGCAGTGACAGCCACACACTGACACCCCAATGACCACCCAGACTCAGCCAAGGCCAGTGTCCACAGGTGCACCTTGGAGACACACCACCCCTCCGAGGTCCTGCTGGTCCCACCATGACCGTGGCTCCCAGGACCCTCTCCCCGCCAAGGCCCTGCAGGCTGCACCGAATGGACTGACTCAGTCCGCCTCTCTGGCAGTGACCTGCTGCTGGCTCCCACAGGGCAGACTCCAAGGGCCCTTTGGGAAAAGGTGGGCCCTAACCTGACATCTGCCTGGCTTGCTCCAGCCTGCAGCAGAGCCTGCTCAAGGAGCCCCAGGGGAGGCTGGGCGGGAAGACCCCCAACCCTCACCAGCTTTGAGGAGCCCAATGTGTTTGTAGGGTGCAACAAAGAAGAAGAGCATTACGACGCCTCTGTTTAGACTGGCAAAGTGGGGTATGGACACAGAAGGTCTCCACGGCATCCCAGTCCTCCTTGGCCAGGCATCCCTTGAGGAGAGTCCTGGGGGTCCCAATAGCTCGGCCCTCTATCTCTTTGCCGGCAGGTCCCCAGGAGGGAGCTGTGCAGCTTTCTCTGCTTCCTTCAGCCCACGTCCTGAGGGTCAGGGTCCCCCATGCCCTGCGGAAGCCCAGGCCCCGAGAGGAGCAAGCAGGTGTAGGAGCACAGCCCCAGGTGGAGGGTGGTGGGTCAGTGACCCCAACCAAGGCGGAGGCCTGAGCTGCCCTGGCATTGCCCCGGACCAGAGAGCCCTGCCAGGGACCAGAAGGCGGTCACAGATCAGTGGTCACGGGGTGCAGCCCCATGGCACCCAGGGACCCGGTCACTAGGGTCTCAGAGCCGTGAACTCCTCGCCGGCTCTGCACCCTGAGGCCTGGACGTGGTAGCATCCGGTCACCTCAGTTCGTGCGCTCCCCACCTGGGGCAGTGCCCAGCGCCGCTGTCGTGCCTCGGTTTACCCCACTGTCCATCAAACTCCTCCACCCCGCAGGCGGCACAAGCGGCCACTCGGCACTGGGGTCCGGGCCGACGAGG